AAATAAAAAAGTGCTCGACATCATCATGTTAAAATAGAATTTGGCTTCTTTTAGGTCTTTTGACACTTCAGGCAGGAAAACAAAAACAAAGAACAATAGGCATCAAACTAAATGAACTTCTGAAAAATACTCAGCATTAAACACAACTTTCAGTATCAGTAAATATGTTTCTTCTCTATTTACAGATGTTAAGAAAGGGCATTAGACACTTGCTGAGGACGAGATTTCGTTTTGTAGAATATACAGTCCACACTTCTGGGTGAGATTAGTAGAGTTTTTATAAACCAGTCACATATTTAGTCCTTCAGATTTCATAAAAGGTAAATGCTACAAAAATTACCCCTTCTTTACCCTGAATAAAGGCAGCAGAATAAAGATGTATAGGCCACAATATATGACTGATGCTAATTTTTCTTGTAGTAGGTTTTATGATCCTGGCTTTTAGGAACTAGTTACCAAGTTTATAAAAACTCCATACATCATCTTTTAATAAAACTCTTTTGAAGAAAATCAGTCGGCTAAAGCTAATGCTCTTTCTAAAGCGCTATTTAGCGACACAGACATTGCAATTGTTCAAATGTTCCACAGAGGCTGACAATAATATACTGTCCACCTAGATTAAATATATAAAAGCAAACTTTTTATCTAATTTTTACATAGATGGCACAATAATAGGTGAAAACGAATTATTCCAGCTGCTGATTCAACAGTGCATCAGACACGAGAGAATAAAAATACTGCAGCTAAAAATATTCCAAAGGTTTTTGCACACCTGTTAACAGCTTAACCATTGAGATCCCCTGACAGACACGCGTTGGCTTCGCAGTGCAACAGGAACATCACGAGGTTTGTACAGAGCTACAGGTGCCAACCGTGGAGATGACGCTCGCGTTCTGCTATCAGAGGCTCGTGGATCTGAACAGCTAAGTGAACACAGTAGCAGCAGTGATGAGGATGGGTGTCCAATTGATTATGATCCTTCTGACTCAGCGTTGGCATCGTCTGCTCGACCACGCCGGCTCCCGAGTCACTTCCATTAGATTAAGAAACAAAACTAAACAAAACACATTTTGCCCACTGATGCTTGCAGATATTAAGCACCGTCGTGTAACAGCAGGAGTGAGGGCCCTTGTTATCAAAAAGAAAAATCGGTGTTTTGAATGGAGAGAAAGGGACAAAGTTACGAACACAACAGGTAACTTGAATCAAAAATAACTTCATCCTGAGTGAGGAAGACAAAGCAGTCCCCAACATGAAGAGTACATGATTCTTGGACACATTTTTTACATGCTGACCCTGCCTAAAAACGCAGCAGGCAGCAGAGCAACACACGCACATCTGTCTGCAAGCTAAACCTGAGAGGCTGCAGTTCAGGGTGACTGGCCAGCGTGGCTTGGAATTACCTTTTTCTTCTAATTCTGGGAATATTACAAAAGTTGAAGTTTCCTAAGAGGAAGTGTATTTCTCCAAATGATTTGTTAATTATGAACAAATTAGGTCCTCAGGAACTATTAGTGGCAACTGACTCTTACAGGCCTCAAATAGGTTTACTGTAATAGCAATGACAAAGCCTAAGGGGAGAACAATACGTATACAACACTGAAGCTTAGAAAAAATAATCAACTCCTTTTAGGTAGTTTAGGTCCAGATCATGTGATATTTGGAGGTATTACAGCTTTCTCTCCACAGCATGAGATAAGGTGCAGCATCACTTATCATGCTACTTCTGCTTCAAATAAAATCATGTGAGAACAGGATGGCTGATGAGTAAGTCACAATTCCTGTCTGGCTGCTGGGTTGAGGTCCAGTCCAAGGCAAGGTGGGAGAATGAAAGAGTGCAGATTCTTTTTTCTTTTTCCTTTTTCTAAAAAAACTCTGTTATCCAAACATTAACTAATGAGAATGCACACGAGGTCATGCAAAAGGAGAAGGCAGGTCTGAAATGCTAACAAAATAACAAACCAACCAAAAAACCTGCAAAGAGATTATCAACAAAAGCCACCAAGTAGCATGGCTCTGGGGCAGGTGGGTGCAGGCAAGGCAGCAGGGCGAGCATGCAGACCGAAACAGGAGCAAAACGGAGGTGTTTGTGACGAGCAAAACGGGGCTTCAAACCAAAACACCAGTGTGTCTGTGTGTGTGTCTGTGTCCGAGAAGGAAGGGGAGGGGAGACACAAAGAGAGAAGGAAAGAACGGCAGGGGCAGAGAGAGCAAGCAGAAAAGCAAGCATACATACATGGAGCTTGAAGGCTTGCAGGGAACAGCGAGGTCATGGGTACTGAATACTCAGAATATGCATCAGCCTACATTCAAAAAAAGAGAGGGCTGACAAATATTAGTGACCTTTGGGGGAAGGCAGAATACTGAGTAACGCGTGTGCATAAAATGTAACATCCGCAAATCAGAGCTCAGGCTGCTGTGACACTTGCCCCAAGGGTGGCTTTTCTGCTGCGGGCACCTCCTTCCCCACCCGTGTGGTGGCACCACCTGCAAGGTCAGCACGAAGGGCAGCCCGTGAAGAGCTGCTGGACCAGGACACGTGTCAGGTGCACGGAGGGACAAGGCAGGACAGAAGACAGACCAGCACATGCCTGGGACTCTCTGGTTACCCTCTGCAAAGTGCAGCCAGCAGTTTCTTTGACTATGTTGGGAGGAACTGGCTGGGGCAAAGTGTTGGTTATGTTGTACAGAAAGGCCATGCCAAGCTGGCAGAAGAGTGGGGAAGACTGACACGTTAATCTGAGCCACAAGTAGCATGCCATAAAAAAGAGCAAGCATCTGCATGATATTGGGATGGAATTTGGATCTGATTTTTTCAAGTGGGAACTCCAGACATGACTGGGAGTCTGGTTTTCCATGGGTATGTTTTAACTGCCTGCAGGGTAAACAGACCATTTTGTTTCTCCTTCTGTGACAAGCTCGCCCCGAGGTTCTTGCACCAGCACAAACACCTTTAGGAATCTAAAACATAAGAAAGACAAAAAGAAAGAGACTGGATTAGAAAGAGATTGGGGAAAAAGGGATCCCTTAAGAGCAAGCATTGCCTGCAGGAGGTTAAAGGAAAACACAGCACCCAAGCATCTACCAGGTTATCAAGGGTTAAGGAAAGCTCCTGATCTCAGCTTTAAATTGCCCCGGCACTCAGAGCAGTCACGATCTCCCTCAGCCCTTCCCTCCAGCACCAGGGAAGGGCATCCCTGGGAACATGGCCCTCCTGCAAGGAGGATGCAAACCTAGGAGCAGGACCCCAGCGGCACCTTCCCACTGCAACAGGAGAGAAAACAAAAGCTTTTTGCCTTCTAAACCTGCAAAGGAGTATCTGGTCATGGGACTGTGCCAAAGAGCATGACATAAGCAATGATACTGAAGGATAATCAGCAGCCAACACACAAGAAATGCTGCAGGTGGATGCACAGCAGCCATCCTGCACACAGGAGCCTGTGTTGACCCTTCATTCTTAAGGGGTGACAGCTGTCTTAGACTTTAAATCCACGGTAGGTCACACTGGTGTGGCCACAGATTATTGAAGCAGGGTAAGTTTTCTATGTGGCCAAATGAAGCAAGGACCCAGGAATTTGATTTGGCCAAAGAGTCTGCTGTGTCAAAGCAAGTATCAGATGCAAGTCCAAATTCCCCTTGCATTTCAAGGAACCTTCAGATCTCCTTTGCACCCACTTCTATAAAGAAAAGAAGTTGGAGGGCACTTGTTTTGCATCAGTAAAGTTAAACTAAAATGCATACCCATTAAAAAAAACCTCACAGGAATGAGAAAATAAAATGTTTATTAGAAGATACCATAGTACAAGAAGCTATAAAGAGACCTGACAGATGAGGATTTTTAGAAAATAAGAGTACAAAAGAACAGCCGCACTGGCCAGATTTAACAAACTTGAACACAAAATAGAAGTTTCTATATAGGTCCAACCAGATGCAGGCAGCTGAGTAACCAAAAAAGTTTATCAACATAAGAGTTATCAAAATGGTTGAGTAGAGCAACTGTCAATAAAACAATTTATTTATATATATATATATAAAAGAATAAAAATGAAATTCAAGTAACTTTAGTTTTTAAGTTATGTTATATACATTTTTAATCTAGGAGAAACAAGGACAAGTATTTAACAAAAGGGATTTTAAAAAGCCACAGACCAGTTTATAACTGCTATCTCCTAAGCTATTTGGCAAGCACTAAATAATGAGCTACGTGCTAGACACAAAGTTCAGGTCGAGGCCCTGCACGAGGGTCCAGCAAAGCCTGAGCGGAGCTGCAGGGCTGGGCCCCACGGAGCCGCCCCACGGAGCCATCGCTGCCGCTGCACGTGGTGGAGGGGAACAGCCCCTCGTGCTGCCCCTGGCTCCAACAGCTGTTCTGGGAAACGGAACTTCACAAAAGGGTCTGTCTGTGCCAAGCCACCCAAACAGCCAGCCCTTCCCGTGGAAGCAAAGATTTTTTTTTTTTTTTTGGGGAAATGGGGAGTTTTTATAAAGATGGTTATTTTAGGTGAGTTCTTGTCACACTTTATTTCGCTTAGTAAAAGTGTGTTTTGTTCCCCGAAAGATGGGGGTACCAAACCTAAGAACACAGCACGGTCACACTTGAGCCAGCTGAAGGTCCAACTGGTTCCAGAACTGGACAAGCACCAGATACCCAAGGTGGGCAAAGGGCAGTGGTGCAGAAAAGCCCTGCAACAACCTACAGCAATCTGTGCACAGAGAAATTATTTTCCTCCTCCTCTAGCGGTTACAGGTTGTCAGAAGCCCCAAAATTGAGCTTGTGTCCAAGAGACCCAGTTCTTCATCTATACATTTCTAACATTTAGGGAAGTTTCCTGTGTGCATCACACAGAATGAACCAACTTCATTGCCTCTCATTTTCATTAAAAACGACAAGAATACTGTTCCTAACTAAGTTCATACAATTTCATTGGTAGTGATGCACATTTCAATTTAAGATGAGAACCTATCAACACATCAGCTGAGTAAACTGCACTTAAGAGTCGTTCATTGATGGAGACAAGACGTGCACTGATCTCTACTAAAGTAAATCTCCTGCAACAGATCTCTTAGAACAACGTAGCAGCAACCCAGTGGAATAAAAGGTGAACAGGCCTATGCAAAACTACTCAGAGATTTCCTGAAGTGGTTTGTACATATCTGGAAAAAAAAAAAAGAAAAAAAAAAGGCAAAACAAGATAGACATTACTGCTCTCTTTGCAATAGAGTTTGCTAAAACCCTCCCTCTGGACAGAAGTGACTGCAGTGCCGGAATTACCTTCACTGACCACCTCAGCTGCAGCACAGCAAGCCCAAACACACGTGTGAATAAGCCCGGGGGGCTTTCACAAAGCATCTACACTGCTTTTCTCAAGCAAAGCTGCCTCAGGCCCATGATGCAGGCACAACTCAGTCACACAGGTTGACCTGTGCCACTTGCACTGGCTGAAAGTCACAAATTTACTCAGGGTTGGTGTGAAAGTCCTTGCATTTCCCCGTAGCTAACGTTTAGAGATAACTAGCTGCCCAAATGTCTTTCCAAAAATAGGGAAGAACTGTACAAGTCTGCAAATGCTTTAGCACTTAGTTTGGTTTTCAAGAAAGTCACTGTTTCAATTTGAAATTTTCAAGGCTGAATAAAAAACATTTTCATTGACACATTAAAATCAAATCAGAAATCTGCAGCTTGCAACAAGACCCATCTTTTAAACACAGCAGCATTTTCCCCAAATCTTTACGCTGCTTCCGTGACAAGGAAAGAGCTCTTAGTTTTTCTTCTTAATAAGAGATTTGAGTTAAATAAAAATCTAAATATTAGAGCCCCTTTACATTAGCTATTTGCATACACATTTGGTTTGGTTGCCAAAGGCCAGCAAAATTAACAGAAAAACTTAAAAGGATGGAAAGAATCAGCTAGAATAGAAATGGCTGTGACTGCATCTGCATTCACTCCTGGCACAGCCTGCGTGTTTACGGTCATTGAACAGAACCCTGTAACTTGCATAATATCATTAATGTACTGATATGATCTGCTGGCTGCTGTCGTGATGCTCCCGTGGTCTCTCCAGAAGGATGAGTTATAAACAAGGCTTTGCTGGTTCCGGTTGGCAGGGTGTCAACACACACCGTGTCGGGGGTCTCACCCGTCTCGCTTCGCTGCGTTCCCGCCCGCCTGCCTCTGCTCCCGGGCCACATTCCATGGCCACATCCCGTGCCGCGGATCTGAGGCCGAGCGCCACGCTCGCTGCTCAGGGTACATTTAGATGGCACCCTGGCTTGGCGCTTTCGAGCAGCCCACAGTGCTGCCCAGCAAATTTTGCAGCAGAACAACAACATTGCTGCACACAACGCACTGAATCTCCCTGGCAGGGAACACAGATGGTTAGTGGGATCTCCGGCCGCTTTCTGCCTTGTTCTGAGAATGCATTAAGTGCCCAGCCCGTGGCTGTCCCTCTTGCCAAGGTGCAAGTGTTTGAGCTTTTTGCACTCTTTTTGCATCTCGGCTCTCCCTCTCTGCCAGTGCTAAATAAAACTATTGGATTATGACAAAACTCAACAGGAGTGCAGGCTGCCAGGGGCTGCAGACATGGCACTGCCCTGTTTAATACAGGGCCCAGAAACAGCAAGCTCATCACGATGCAGTGCTGTCCACAGAGAAAGGCTGCTCTCTGCCTGGTGTCCATACTGCCCCATGAGAACACTTCAGCTTTCCTCTAAATTAGATGAGGCTGCTTGTTTCACACTAAGAACTTTTAGGAACCATGGTAGGCAACAATGAACTGATTAAGGATTAAATGACTGAAAAGCCCACATGCCATTTAACAGCAAACTTCCAATACATCTTGACTTGGAAGAAGACCAAAACCTTTGGATTCCTTGATGTATCACATCACCAGGCGATCACCACGCTGGCACATATCCTAACCAGGACTCATTCCCCTGCGTGCACTACTTGCTTACAAAACACACCTCATTTATAAGGGTTTAAAAGCAGTGAAGAGAAACAAGAGATGGGAGCCTAGGCTCAGAGCATCTCCACTGATTGTATATGAGCAGAAGATGAAACCATTACTTGTGACTTATCTGAAATAACTGTATTTTAACTGAAATGTCAATACATTCCAAAAACTATTTTCTGAAATGTCAAGGAGGGAAAGAATAAGGAATCTTTCTTAATGTCATTATTTCACCAATTTATCAAGGATCACAGATCGCTGTGTAGACAGTTTTTGGCAAGATCTCTCTTTCCTCACACAGAATGTGTTTCCCCTGTCAAACACACATTAACAAACTAAATGATGACCACGTTTCAATTCAGAAAGTCCACAGGGTACATTAGGCTCTGAAAAGCTACCCTCACTGCAACACAAAACAACAGTCTAAGTATTTCATATGTAACTTTCCACAGAAAGTTTGGGACAGTTGTGAATACAGACAAGATGTAGCTATAAGATACCACCTAGATATATAGGGGCATCCCATAACTATTCAAAACAGCCCTGTGTTTCCTGCACCAAGGTGGATGTGCAATAGCAGTTACTTTTGAACAAGCAATCTCTAGGAAAGGCTGCATCTCCCCTCTAATTTTACACTATCCTTCCTTCTCTGACCAATAAAAAGCATGTTTTGCAGAACGAAGTCCATGTACAAAATAATGCACTTTGTGGCACTGTGCAGTCCTTTAAAAGGCTCTATCTGCAACACAGAGCAGTTACAGGATCGGATAGCTCTGAAAGCAAATAAAGTAGTAATAGTAGTATTAAATATAAGTCATAGCACCTTTGGCATTTTTGTCCAAATAGACTTCAACATATGATGTAGGGACATATCCCTCCTCATCTTCATTCCTTCGGATTCGCGTCCACCCATCACCTTTGTCTTCCTCTATGACATACAGCATCTCTCCTTCTGCTACAGAAATTGTTCCTTCATTCTGACCTGAAAGACACAGTAAGACGTAGTTCAGGGAGGTTCAAAGGGGGAGCTCTTCAACACCTAATACAGTACATTTTCCATCAGTAACAGTAGTTTATAGAGTGATGGGTGATGACGTGATTTGAAACTTGTTGCCAGAAAGCCCTCCCAGTGAAAAAATTCACAGGAGGGCCTTCACTACGAACGGGATGAAGCACATGCCAGGAATGAAATGCATAAAACAGTAATCAGCTAAATTCTGTTTTGTGATTCTCTTGGTGCAAAGAGTCCCCACATAAGGTGCAAAAAAATCGGCGTCTTAGTGCCACTCTACAACACAGAATTTCAACAGAGCCTCTGGCATTTTCTTTGCCTATTTAAGCACTGCAGGGGTTAAATAAGTGTTCCCTAGTTGTATTTGCGACATGAACCAAGTAGAACAGTAAGAACAGTAAAGAAAAAGTCAAATAATACCTTCAAATGTATACAGAGCTTTACATGTTCCTATAGTGGGTAGTGGTTCTTCATCATCAAATTCATCATCAAAATCTGTTGCAGGTACTTTCATCTCAGTCTCCTGACTTTGCTCTTCTGTGTAACTGCCATCCGGGCTGCTCAAGAGAGGAAAATACACAGCAACTATAGCGACCAGCCCCAGGAGCAAAGGCAATGACTTGGTTAGCAGACACTAAAAGCCAGGGGAGCAACTGCAGCTGGAGCAGCTCAGAAAGAGCCGCTATCAGCAGCTGCCATCACAAGGCCATGAGAGTCATTTTTCCCCATTAAGACTCGTAAAAGGCCCCCCTCACCTTCACGGCCAGCTAGCACACCTTTCATCATATTCAGAAGGGCAGTTCTTACACTTTGTACCTTCTACATGCTAAAATTAGTATGCCAACAGCCTCCTGGAGCGCTCGCCCTCAGGCTGGCCGTGCAGCAAGCTCCAGCAAGCTGCTTCCCTTGCGGAATGCACCTCCCTAAGGAGCGGAGGGAGGCGGGGGGCAGCACCAGCAGGACGGCTCTATCCAGATACTGTACCTCTCCCGGTCCTGGGCACAGCTGTTCACTGCCGACGTGTTCTGGGCCTCATACAGGCCGCTCTGGCGCCGGGCCTGGTCCGTCCGCATGGGCAGCCTGCCCTCCACCTCGGCCAGCCAGCCCTGCAAAGGGAAAGCCGCCGTTTCGCAGCTCTGCTGCCCCACCTTGCAAAGGGACACATGCTGCCTTTATTTTGCTATGTTACATTTGACATTCAGAGCAGGGAGCTAAAAAGAGAGTAAACATTTAAATTTTCTTCTGAATGCAGTAGTTAGAGGGTCTATATTTTGTATTCTAAGTGCATATTAAAAACTCCAGTCTTGCAAAAAACAAAACAAAAAAAAAATCACACACTTGCTGAAAAGTTGGTTCTTTTGCAGCACAGGGTGCCAAAAACAGTGACTTGAGAGCAGTAGTTAATGACAGCTGTTCCACTGCTGCTGCTCCAGTCACAATAAAGGGAAAAAAAAGATATCTGTGGCAGTATATAGTAGTCTCAATAACATGAGAAGCCCAGCAATCTCATAGACTGCTGAGTGCAAGAGGCCTGGAGCTGGGTGAGGAAGAAACAGTTTGTTATTTTCAAAAGGATAGGTAAGCAATAGATAATAAAGTAAACAACTGTAAGAAGCATATAAATTAATTGGCTATATCTATTTATGTCCATAGTGCAACTGGGTGAAGCCTTTCCTCAACTCTATAACCCTTCTAGAGTAATTATCATGGTATACATTTCTAATGGCTTCAGTTATTTCAACTACTCCTTATGCTCCTGAGATTTTGCATCTCCAAGCTGCTTCCTGTTCATGGCAGACTGTTCCTTAAAACACATTTCATCTGATGGCTTCTATCTTGCTGATAGACTTTCAATGATGCTTTTCATTAACATTCATCATTTTTTCCACAGACAGATGTAACGTGATGTTATTCATTAAAAAACCATCCGAATTCTTCTGGGCAGTCCAGAAAACATGGTATTTTTTTCCCCTCTTCCTCTACTCAGCATAATTTGCTTTCTGTGTCAAATTAAACAGCAGGGTTGTTGGCTGACAATCACAGGAGATGGTGCATATCTGTGTTACACAAAGAAGCTCAAAGATCTCCATTAATACAAGTGACTTACCCACACATAGCAAGAAAATGCTTCAATATGCCTGTCTGAAAAAGCACAGGAGCTCCCACTTACAATTAAGCATATGCTGAACTACTTTGTACTGAAGCAGGGCATGGTTGTGGACACCAGCATCACAGAAGTACATTTGTTCTTCTGTACCTCCCATACCTCAAATTTCTGAACTTCTATTCGTAACTTTTCAATGTTCTGTCCAAGTTCTGCTAATCTGTGGTCCACGCTCGCTGCATCTCCCATCTGTGGGTTCTTGATATACACATCTTTCATTTTCGTTAAGGCATCTCTGACAGAGAGAAGAAAAATAAAACATGATGTAAATGTTGGTGCAGCTGCAGATAAATCCCATTCTCTGAGGGAAAATAAAAGGAGAATAAACTGCCTTCTCTTAAACTCTGGTTAAAACCTTACCTGTCATGAGAGTAACAACACCCAGACAGGGATTTTTCTCCTGCACAGACCCAGCCATTTATAAATAGTAACTGTAAAATTGCTTGCCAGAGAAAAATTATACATCGAGAGATGAAGAACAGAGTGAAGCCTTTACCTACAATGTGATATGTGACACTGTGCTCAGGCCTTGCACTAAAAGAAGCTCTTTATTCCCCAAGCAGCTGGGGATTCTTCCCTGGGAGTGAGGTCAGCTGAATGAGCCCTACGAGGGAATGAAGCCACAAGATGTGCTGTGTTGGTACAAACAGGCAGCATATTTAGACCAAGGGATTGGAGCTCTAAGTGTCCCACTTCAAAAATCTCAGCAGAAAACTGACTGAAAGCGTTAGCAAGGAAAAGGAGGAATATTTAAGGCACGGCACTGACTTTCAGCCTGCCATACTTTTTATTTAGCACTAGAATTTCCACTTGCTCTCCTGGGCAGGGGAGGAGGGAAGTCTTGCAACCACTGCAAAGAGCAAAGCCTTCACTTTTCTAGATGCATTATCTTCCTAGTTTGGGGACACAAGACAAATGGTTGCATCGTTCCTCTCCATGATGCACTGAGTACAAGTTTAGAAAATGGGACAAGGAGCTGCATGTGAACCTATTAGTAATAAAAATGGAGTGCTATCTGGAAATTCTCACCCTACTTGGTGCCTTTTATTTATCTTTTGCAATGCAAATCACTTGTAAGATATTTATTTCTCACTGCTTAAAATGAGGCTAAACCCAGATGGTTTGTATTTGTCACAGGGTAGCAGCAGACGGACCTCGGTGACATGATTGACCCTGCTTCCTGGTTAAGTTATGCAGTATTTTTTATTAGACCATTTTGGGGGGAAATGTTTCAAATCAACCCAGCTGCCAAATGCCCAGGATTTCAGAAGATTCCAGTTTTAGGGCTTACTACAAGGAATGTGGTATGGTAAGGCCAGCAGTAGCACGTGCCCTCAGGAGCTCGGCCGGGGAAGCCCAAGGAGCTGTCACCAAAGCAATGTGCTACCTCCGACCCGGGGCAGAGTGAGGCTCAAGTTCAAAAACAGACAGAACAAAAAATCACCATGATGAATACTTAAGAGCTTAGAAATGGGTGAACTTACTAGCCCATTTCCTGTATTTCGAACAGAACTATTCAGCTTTTCTCTAAGCATTATTTTTTTGGGGAAAAAAGAGTTAATGTTAGTCCCATGACTCCAGTTAACGCTCTTTATATGTTAGAGTTTCCCACCAAACTCTTGACAATTGCAGCCCTGTGCCTGCTTTTCCTTTGTGTGAAGAGAAACTGGGAAAAAAAGTGTGGGTGGCAAGGAAGTGGGACTGCTCTGTGGTGGGAGCCCTCAGGGACAATATTTCAAATATATGAGTCATGATTTTTAAAAACTCTATATTTAACAGCTGATGCTAATTCCCTACTCAATTATATGCTATGTTTATTTAAAATAACCTCATTTTGCTCTGATTTTGTACCACATTTTAACTCCAGATTTCCTTGGAATCAATGAAGACGCAAAGGAAAAATCTTATAGAGACAAAAAAAAAAAAAAAGCAGCACGTGTAAAACAAAAGTAATACATCTACATGCTGCCTTCCTTTCTTATTCATGGCATCAAATATAAAGAAGAAATTCTAGAATATCAGACCAAAATATGCAGATATTTGCAAAGCAAATGTGCAGAAAATTCAGACATAACTGTACAGACACAAAATACCAGCAATGTTTAGGGACAGAGTACTATCAGAGAGAGGCTAAATCCTGAAAGCCTTCAGGAAAGAGAAGCTGTGTCTCCTGCAAGCACCACATGCTGAATCTTTATCACAATTGCACAATTGCCAGAATGAGAGCAAACACTGGAAGCAGCAAACGCAGGCTGCCAGAACCAATAAAAAGCACATAACTAGAAGGGCCTTGTTCTCAGAATGACAAATGCAGCCTCACAGAAAAGCACATCCACAAAACTATAGGGCTCATCATCTCTTCTGCTTCCACAAAACACACGCTGCACATCAGAGAGCCCTGACGCACCACTCGGCGCTTCTGGTGCTGTCATGCTCATAATCACCTCTCTCATTGGGATCTACCCACATCCAATTTCGCCTGTCACATTAATAAGCAACTTGTTTAGTGCTCAGAGATCTACGATTACAGTTTTGACTGAGAGTATGTATTTAAATCCTGTACTTTCTTTGGAAAACTCAGGAGCTGCTCACATCACACCGATCCTTGTCTGGCTAGCAACTGATCTGCAGGCGTCCTTCAAAGCCCCAAGAATGCAGCTCCACAAGAAGGAAAAACTGTTTCCAGTTGCTTCACTTCTACTATTCCCATCTCTGTACAAGAACGTTTCATGCACCCAAGGGGATGAGCAGAATTAGCTGACAGCCAACTCTTCCTCCAGCTTTGACCCCTACATCAGCAAAAATTAACTGATATCAGAGCTTGAGTTGTAGAGCGTGCTGCAACTCTTTTCATGTGTTTTTACTTCTATAGTATTCACTGTATATTTTTTTCCTTGAACAACACCTCAAACAAGCCAAGAACCTTCTTTGTATTTGATCTTTCTTGTATTTTAGTTGTTTACATTCTTCTAAATAAGACTACCTTCTTCATATTCATTGTAGGGGGCTGGCTTACCTTTGATCCATCTCCTTCTGAATGTCCTTGTTTAGTTCATCAACTTTTTGCTGAAGTTTCTTTCTTCTTTGCTCAGGTGGGAGATTGCTGAAATCTTCTGGCCCTGCTCCCTGCACAGAGTGGAATGGAGAGAGGGGGAAAAAAAAAAAGAGGAAAAATGAGAGCCTGCAAGAACCTGACAGAGCTGCATTTTGAAAATGGCTCACAGAAGTGTGTGCAAAATCCCTATGGTCTGAAGCATTGCCAGTGTTTGCCTTGAGAGTGCTCGGTCACGGAATGGTGCGGGAACTACAAGCTTTAGAAGTTTGGGACCTACAAGCTTCAGAGGTAATGAAAACGCTTCCTCTAGGCCTCCTCGGTCTAAAGGCACGCTGCACATTTTCCAGGATCCATGCCCCCTGCCAAAGGCTCCTCTCTTACTTGCACCTGCAGGAACACTACCAAAGCCAAAGTCAGTCCATCTGAAATCATAACTGAGATAAATTTTCAGCAGTGATTCTGCTTGAACTAAAACCTCCTTTCTGCCTTCAAACTGCTAGGCCTCCTCCCGATTGCTTCAGCCATGCATAGCAGAGGCCATGTAACAACTACCCTTTTTTCTTCCAAGTACCACCTATATTTGGCTGGCAAGGAAGATGGCTTTGGTGGGTTATGCTGAAGACAAGTCAATACTAGTCAGCTTCACTACAAGAGTCAAGTCTATGCTGATAATTATAAATGTCTGTAAATTTTATTTTGGTTTCTGCACCTTCTATATATCATTTTTAATAGGAGCTACTGGCATCTGGGAGAAAGAAGGGGAACAAACACAAAGCCAAGCAACCAAATTCGGTGGTCCAGGAGCGTACTGGAAACTTGTGATCAGCAGTGCTCACCTTACTGGAATGCTGAGTATCCTGCTCAGAAGAGCGTGATTTAGTGGACACCTTGTCACAAAATGCTACTTATCAGACACGTGCAACCTCCACTTAGTGTGCCCTGAGAGAGGGCACAACTTGTGCATTTGCTGAATGCAGCTTGGAGGGAAAATATGCACGTGTCCAGGGCACGGTGGGCAACTGCAGGCAGGTCCTGAGCTCTTCCTCCAGCCTAGCACTGCAGGCTCTGCATCTCTGCTCACAATGCTTCAGACCAAAGGGGGAACACGGCACAGAAAGCATGCCCGAGACCGACGGCAATCCCGCAGGTTTGATTCCATGCTCAGTAACATCCCGTCACAACAGGGGCTACGGTTCCTCCTCCGAAAGGAGGAGTCAAGGAGCTGCTCTTGCACATGCTGGGTACGTTTCATGCTCTCAAGCAAACCACCCGCCATGGACCTTCTCTGGAGTAGCGAAGGTCACCTGCATTTGCCTAAAAACGCTTCACAGTGCGGTGCTGGGACACATCTGTGCTATTGCTGATGTGCTGTCATGGAACAGCAGCGTGTGCTCACGAGATATCCTTGCATGAAAGTACTGGGGTTTACGATGCAACTTATCCACTATGGTTGCAAAATGAAGGACCACGTGAAAGTCAGCCACGTCTGGACCAGTTCCTGGGCTGAAGCTACATAAACAGAAGTGTGCAGACGCTCTAGTTTGGGCTTCCTTTACAGCTAGGAGACATTAGCAGGTCATCAAGGAGCCACTACTTTCCTTCTCAGGCACTCCCAGGTCTCAGTGCTCTCTGCTCATCATTGGATTTGTAAATTTTGGGGTTGGAGGAAAGGCAGGTCAGCCCATGTACTTGGAAAGATGTATTCCTACATACTAAGGCTTGCCTTGGCAGCACAACACACTAGAGCTACGACCAGGAAAGCAGCAAATGGAAACCCTCGGTATAAACACTGTAAGCCAGCCCAGTGTCTTGTAACAGCTGAAAGTTGTGAGCAAACTGGAGTGTGAGGACTTTAATCCTGCCTCTCGCAGGTCTTCGTTAAGAAGCAACATTGGTGCTCGAGGAAGACGCCGCTGCGTTCCACGAGGCAGCAACAGGGCCTCAACCACCCCCAGCGCCGTAGCCAGAGCTATGTTTGGTAGCTTCGGTGGCAACACCTGAGCCTCAGAACGAGCTGCTAGGAGCAGAACCAGGATCAACGTGCGTGTCAGGAGAGAAACAACCGCGAGAGGGGACAGAGGCCCTGACAGAGGACCAAGAAAACTCTCAAGGTAATGTAACTAATGAGTGGCTGCCAATCCCCAGCGCTTGCGGGACCGCGCGAGACCCTGGCGCCTCACGGCCTGCGTGAGGTGGGTCAGCGCGTCGCGCTCTGCTGCCGGGATCACCCGGGGCAGGGACAAGCGCCCACGAGGACAGCTCTGCTCCAGCACCTCGAGGATCAGGTTCAGCATGGAATCTGCTTCCCAAATCTGCTCACCCCAGCCCTTTCCAACTCACTAGCGCATTTCCTTACCGTGGCTCAAGAAACCTTCCCAGCTGCATCCAGGATGGAATTTAGGATTCGTATATACGTTATCATTGGCAAATTCTAATCAGATTGAGTTAACCTTCTGGGTTAAAGTTTACAAAATTTTTAATATAATTATTAGTTATTTTGGAGGACTACATAGGGCTGTAAAATGTAGGTGATAATGGTGCCAACTTCCAGTAATACCTGGACACAGAAAGCAACTTTGCAGCTGTTTTCAGTTACACTAAAGACTTGCATTTCTCTCTATAAATGGTCCCGCAAACACACCGAGACCATTAGTTTTTAAATGCTTTAATGCATACTTCAGACAGAAGCAGAATTACTTGATATTATTTTTCTACATTTTGATAGCCCTAGATTATAAAAATATAAACTAAACTAGATATTAGAGTTAATGTTTTAGCAGCTTATTAGAATGACTGAATTCTGATCACCTCTATTAGACTCCAGACCTGTGTATTCAGAGTTATCTGATAAATATCAAAAAAAGCAAGACACAAAGAAAAAACAAATTTAACAATTTCAGTGTCATGTCACACGTGGCACAGTGCACATTAAAACACAGAAAATAGTGATTAAAACACAGGACATGCATGCCGTAAATGTGCTTACCAGCTTGAGAGAAAGCTTCATGTAAAAATTGGAGAGATACAGGAAAATAAAAAATAAAAAAATAAAAAAGAGAGAGAGAGAGAGAAAAAACAACAGTGCATCAGTAGAAGAGGAACTGTTTTGGACCACTGTTACAATAAAATGACACACATCCCCCTCGGCATTGGGCCGTGAAATGGGTAACACTAACAGATCAGTGCAAAAGTTCACAAGATGGGCCAAGATGAGCAACCCGCTGCCGTTTCCTCAGCGGAAGCAGGAGAGGAAAAGCCTTGTACCTCTATACATGTGCTTTGGTAGCGCAGGTGAGTACGTGGCCTAGGCTGATTCATTCACAGCTGCTGGGACCACAACGGTGCTTCTCTCCTTAGGGGAACATCTTTGATGCAAGGATGGGAAAAACAGCTCAGGACTTGCAAATATAGGTAAACCACTCAAGACCAAAAATGCACCGAAATGCAGTCAACTATCAGCCACATTAGACAAGGTCTTAGGATAGGAGTGGAACCTAGGCAGAATTTAGCAAAGAGGGACTCCTGCTGCAAAAAGCACTAGGGGATCTCTTCAGAGACAGACCCGAGCTCTCCAGGCTGCGCTCAGTGACCCAGCCACAAGCACCTTGCACAATGCACTCCTGCTAGCTATTTCAGATGCTTCATGTTCTTGAAACCTTCATAAGGAAACACTCATCAAATAAAACTTCCTTTTGCTACATGGTCAGATAGCCAGGACAAAGAAGGAGATAAACCCCTCTTTTAATGTCCAGCTGCTTCTATGACAGCATCCTAAGCTGCTCTCCAGGCTCCTTATATGATACAAATGGTAGAGTCTTTTAGAGGTCACCGCATTTTCTGGTATAGAGCCAGAATACTACCTCCTAGCTACCCTGGGAAAGTGGGAGACTACGTAAGAGGGGAGGCGTATGTGTAAAATGAGACAAAAAGAAAAAAAATTGTGCCCAAGCCTTGCCCAGCAGCAGGCTCGCCCTGCCCTGCGGCTTTGCAGGGCCTCGACCTGGCAGCCGGAGCTGAGCGAGTGCACGAGGGCACCCAGGGCGCCCAAACCCTCCTCCCCAGCGCGGGGAGCCGGGGACAGCTGCAGCTGCCACGAGCCAAGGGGACTAAGAGCATTAAAGCACCTTCCGTGCCGAGGAGCCCGAGCTGCTCGAGATGTGACAAGACATTCCTAAAGGAGACTCGAATCTGAAGCTGGAACTGCCTAACAGGCTGGTCTGTGCTCCAGGCAAACAGAAAATGTCAGTGAGGAAGCACCTCTCCCTGCAGGCAGCAATCTGTCTTGTCAAACTTCTGCACATCGGGGTTTTGCGGCAATGCCAACATGAAGGTGCCTCCTGCATGCGGCGCTTTCACACTTCCTGGTGCTATTTTTATAGCCAAAGCACAGTTCTTTACGATTGGATTTAAAATAAAGGTAGCACCATCAATTCATTTGATAACAGGTTTTAGCAGTACGAACATTTTCAGATATAACTGCCATCATTAATCAGTAGATTTATATAGGACAACCACCAGATGAAAAAATATGGCTGTAAAATAGTGAAATATCCCATTAGAGGTGATCCATCCTGTGACAACGCGGCTTCCCCTGAGGCTCAGCCCATTAGTAAGTAAATACACAGCAATAACCACAGCACAACAGTCAAATTAACTCTCTCAGCTAAGAGGCCATTGAGAAAAACCATCATTTTTTGAGGGGAATAATCATTCTAGAAAGGGGTAGAATGCACTAAAACATGTTGCAGAAGAAATTTGGTCGAGGCAGCCTTTATGTGCACAATTGCTTTAGCATTCCTGTGAACTTTAGCAGAGACATGATCAGCGCAAATTAAGGTTCTTGCACATTTATACAGACAACATTCACGGTGCAGAAAAGATATTTACCTACAAAAGCACTCTATAGAGGCACAAATGTATGCTACATGCGCTACCTTGTAAACACTACTCACTCCAAAGCCACTACGCTACTGCGGAGACCCCTCTGCTTTGAGGCTATTCTTTTGCTGTAAATTCAGCAGTTTTCAAAGGGATTACAGACACAGGATTGCCAACTCTTACATTGTTAAGTAGGAGAAAAATAACAAACTTATTCATAGCATTTCCATCCAAATAGTACATCAGGGATTGTTACAACCAGTACAAATAGTGCAGGTCATAGATTGAAAACAACGAAATGCTGAAATAAGTCATTTTCACAGTTTTCAGTTTCTGAAATGTATCAATAATTTCATATGTCAATAATTCAATTTCTGCAAACATCAACAATCTGAAAATAAATCTGCATTAAGCATTCACTAAATAGCTACTTTTGCCAATTCTGATGGGTTTTCACAGCTAGAAACTTGCTCAGCTCCCGGGAGAACAGCGGCATTTCCCCCCTCCTCCCCCGCGCAATCAAGTAATTCCCTTTCCACAAATGGAGCAAATCTGTTTCAAGCTGTCAATTTAGATCAGGTCTAGCTTAGTCTTGCAGGGAAAAAAATGAAGAGCCTGAGAGCCACAAGCTTCAATAACACATGAGAGCGCATGAAAGGCAGCAGGTCCATGTGTTATTGGACAGTCACAGACACTAACCTCACTTACAGAGGATGGGATTGAAATAACCCCTGAGTTTTCCACACAGGCAAGAGGTAAGTTTCTTTTACCTACCTCTTCTTCTGTAGCAACCTCCCCTATACTCTGCTTTCTCAAGCGTCAGATTGAGGAGTCACAAATCTCGATTCCGTGAACTATCACCATTACAGAAAGTTCAGGGAAGCGTCAGAAAGCGTCACAGTGCTCTACAACCGAGGCACAAAACACTCCATGTGCCATCACACTGCTGTAATTTAGGACCTTTGGTCAACGATGGTCAAGACCATATTCAAAACCACACACAATTAATTTGGAATAAATGCACGGAACCCACCTGCAGCAGGATTAGGATTTCTATGCTGTTACTCTTGCTACCCAAGCAAGGGCACTTTAAGTAGGTTCCACATCAGACTCTGAATTTCCCAGGCCCAACCATTAATTGTGCCAATTTCAGCATTTCTGGGACTAGCAGCTGAATCTTTCCTGCCTGTCACGCAATGAGCTGTAACTTGCCTCGCACCAATTTCATGGTTTTCCTTTCACCTTTTCCAAGGCACATTTCCACAGCACACTCCGAGGGCGTTGTAAGTGGGGTTAGCGACTGTGCAGCAAAGGTATGGGTTCATCACACCATACGCAGACTTACAACGTATTCCCTAGCCTCAATGGCACACGTGGGAGTCCCTAAAGTCCTCTTCATGAGTTCTTTGTGAAAATACAAAGACTGTGTCTGCTGGCGAGTCAGCAAGAGAAAATACATCCGTTACGGTGGAGACGAACAAGGTATCTCTACGTCTACTGCTTCTACAGCAAAAACAGCTTAGTGTTTAGCCAGCCTTTAAGTGCAAAGGGAAACTTGCTAGCAACTACATAAGCGTTGAAGGGGTTTAGTATTTTCACAATAACTAAGTGCTATGTTTTTAAAGGCTAGCTTAAACACACCAGATCAGAAAACAGCTTCATTCAGGTTGGCATGAACCAAGGCTTTAACCACCCCAACCCACCAAGAAAACCCAGGTCTTGGATTAATATATATTATATATTAAAAGACCAACTATTCCCATGGCCAGGGAGCAGAGCAAGAGGTTGGTTTGTTTGCTGATGCTGGGCGGTCACAGGTAACAGGGTACGAATCACTCGGGCAGAGCAAGAGCTACGAGGTCAGGGAACAGGGAACACAGCAGGGCACGGAGGGAGGACGAGTAAGGGGAACATCAACTGGTGCAAGGACAAGAGTTTCACGTTGTACTGAAGTCTACAATTTCTACTAGAAAGGAAACCACAAAAATCCCTCCGCTGGAGGCAACAGAAGGGCCTGGAGCTTGGAAGCTGGTTAAGGACGGGAGTAGCCACGTCCCAGCTCCCAAACCCATCTGCTTTCTGTCTCATCACAGCCCAGGCCGAGTTGAGAGAGGCAAAGCAGGTCTGCAAAAAGTCACACAACATAATTCAAAGGAGTAAGTTCTACCCCTGGATTTTTTTTGTGTGTGTGTGTGTGTAGAAATACAGCTCTTTAAAAAAAAGATGCTGAAGTTATTGCTCCTAAAGCAATAAAACAAAAGAGCACAAAATTAATATTAAGCAGCAGAGTACTGAGTTTTTTGTCCTCTAAATAGAATTACAAAAAGCAGAGCAAGCATAAATGAAGTTGTCTTATATAAATGGTTCCTCATTTTTGTACTGTCTTTAACTTCCCTAAAGACACAATTTGATTTAAATATATTTCTTTCCTATACTGCCCTTCTAAAGAGTTATTAGAAACAGCAATGCCCAAAATTACATGCAAGAAATTTTGCCCCCTCCTTTTCTAGTTTAGATCTGTAAGTGCTAGCACAGCCCTGCAGCACTCTCTACAATGGACATTTCTCCTGCAGCTAGGGCTAGAAAAAAGACAACTTGAAGGGAATAGGAAAATGTGATTAGAAAACCATAGACACTGACAAGACTCAGCACCTAAAACTATTTTCTAACTGACTAAGATTTCATATTGGCAGTGATCACCAATATTCATATTGGCTCTTCTACATTAACCTTGCATCTGTTGTAAATTAATTGTTCAGGCATCTGTTTCCTTCTATGAAAATAAGATTCATAGGATTTTTTGGTTTGGAAGCAAAATTAAAAGCAGACTGGGCACAGGATGTATTAATAATTATAAAATTACTTTTTAATCAGTTAACAATGATTTTTTTGCTTTTATCAGTTTAGTAATTTCTCCCTCCAAATGCAATGTAACACAGTAAATCTGAACTTCATGTGGAAATGACTAAAACATCCCATCTATCCAGACACACTCTGATGTCAAAGGTTTTGTGGAGAAATCGTATGGGAATCTATTCAGTCACTTATGTCTAAAAGATCAAGTACAGTGTGCAGTTCTGCTCCCTTTGATTTTTATCCTCTTAAGGTCTTGATGTGTACTAGACTTGTTCACATTAAGTAGTTTTCATCCTTGGAAACTAATGCAGAAAAGGAGTATGACCCAGTTTGCAGTGAAATAAATTGTCATAGTGATTTTAGCTGGAGTTAACAGCTCAGTCCCTTAACAAAGCTGGGAAGGATTTGCCTCTGGACAACTTTGTTGCATAATCTAAAATAATATTTCAAACCTCCCGCAGCTAAACTCCCAACAAGGTGTCTGGCAGGAGAGGGGCTTCTGTCCCTGAGCAGCAGAGACAGGATTCAGATGAAATTCTTCAGCGTGCGGAGCCAAACACCCGTTACGCTGGGCTGTCCGGCCGGCTCCCCACATTTCCTTTCCAACTGTTGCTTCACACTTCTGCATCCCTCTGCACAGATCAAGTGTTCTGCTGCTAAACAGCTTCTCCCCACTCCCTCCCTGCCTCGTTTCTTTGGTAAAATGACGATCTGGTATTTGCAGCATTATAACTCATCCCCAGCTGCAAAGTTTTGTGTCCTTTTGGATTGTGCAAGGGGAAAGCGGAATAGAGAGGACTCGAAATGGAGCTTTCGGAAATAAAACTGATATGGTAAAAGGAGAATTAACAGTGTTACTGACCTGCAGTTTTTATACAGGGACCAAATCAGACTATGTCAGCTGAAATTAATGCCAACCACTCCTTCGTCCTTTGACAAAATAACAGGATTTTGGGATGGGCTTTTTTTTCTAAGAGAACGAAAACATTTCCTCTTTTTGGCCTGCTGAGAGGGTTGAGGGTTTTTAAGGCCATAGGGCTCTTTTTGTGACCTTTCAGTCCAACCCCTTGTAGGGCACCAAGCACATCCCTGCGCTCATAAACTCCGGCCACTGGGACCTATGTAACGTGAACTCTCCAAGTTCTGAAAGCAGACGGTGCAAACAGCAGAGCTCAGCTGCCCCTCCTGCTTCTACATGAGCTAAAAGGCCTCAGTTTGCCCCGCTGCAGAAGGACGTGATAATCCCAGCGCTGGCTTCCAACTCTGCTGCATGACTCAGGCAGGAAAACTATCGGCATACAAACATCCTGGTGCCTAACGGGGAAGGAAATGAAATAGAAAAAAAAGAACACAGTGAAAGGTTTAAATGAAGATTTAGCAAGAGCCTTTCCTTTTGTGTGTTAATGGATGTGTCAGCCGCGATTAGGAGGGGATTCCAGAGAAATCTATAGCAGGCTGCTTGCCTTCGCTCTGCTCGCTGCATCGCAGCGTGAAGCAGCCTTGCAGGAGCCAACCCACCACAAAAGCTGCCTCCAAGAGACCCACAAGTAGCACATCCTCCTAATCTGCTCCTAATGTGGAACTGAGAGACTGTTTTCCCCCCTTAAGAGCCACTGAGAAAAGATACCATGAGCCAAACTGCAACTGTTTGGGAAGGAGGCCTGTTTACAGAATATACCTTCCAACAGCTTGGAAACTTTCAGCTTCCTCATCAGAAAGCACCAGAACGGCGCTTCTTTGGGATCTAGTCTGAATCACAGCGTCACTAAATGGCAATTCCCTAGGAAAGAACTGGAAACTTTTACATAAGAAAATTGTCTGTGTTCTTGATGTACTTTCTGTAACCAGATGATACAATTGAAATCCTGTTTACAGCCTTGTTCTCAGTTCTCTGTAACTAACCAACACTGAAGTTCCCCAGTGAAATCATGTCTACTTTCATGTAACTCCAGTCCCCACGCCCAAATGTCAGTGCAGTCCCTGGAGCAGAGTTTGGGCTTTTGAAAGTAGTTATATCCTTGTTATTACAGTCTGCTCTAAAATAAATAAATATTTAACAATTGTGTCTCCTTGGTATAATTTTTTATAAGAGGAAATAATTCTACAGCTCCTAACTTAAGAACCAAAGCCATACTATGGTAGCAACTTCTCAGTAGGGGCTTGCTGGAAGGAAATCTGTTCACTTTGAGGAAAGAAAAGTTCCATCTTGGCGGTTATTTACTTAACTACAGCATACAAAGACCACCAAGAGTGGTTTAATTTAACTTAAACACCAACATCTTAATGTCACTTAATGTCAGTCCAGTAACAGAGCCCCAAGGCCTAAGTGGAAGCCACTGAAAACATTGAATTAGGGCTGCCGACTCAAGGACAGACAGACACATGCTGCCTCATGTCCTCTTCTCTGCACTTCATTATTGCTTATATCTGTTTCCTTTTCCATAGGCGTGTGACTAACTGGTAATTTGGGATTAAGCCTTGAGTAACATGAGTCAGGAAGCAAGTCAAACCTTCTCATCTTACTGAAATGTCACGGTCCTGGATGCAGTTAAAACCCTTGGGAAGTATCAGCCCCAAACATTTAAAGCCAACTGTAATCAGTATACCTATAGAAGATGCAGAGAACATCAAAGTTTCCTAATGTCACCAACATGAAGGTCTTGATTTAGGGAAACTCATACCTTATAAGCTAAAGCTACTCTAGTGCCACCTAAAAGCATCTAGGTTTCATGTCTCCACCTGCTTTATCTTAAGAGTTGGCCTTACTGAACAAGCAAACACTCCAGCCCTTGGGCAGCGCCTGGACGTGCTGTTCCCAGCACCACAGCAAGAGACATCAAACCTTTTCAGTGAAGTGCCTGAACCTGCCCCAACTCCAGTCTGAAGCATTATTTCCTAGAACCCCTCCTAATCCACTCTCCTTCTGACAGGGGTGCTGAGCAGAACGCACCCTGCAGAGAAGGTTGCTCATGATTAGGGGGGAAACATTGACCATCAAGACCAGAGAGCGTCTCCATGGTGCTCCCCCAGCTCTGCTGCAGATACATGTGAGACCACTAAACTATTCACTTAATTCATCTTTGGGATTTTAACACGAGGATTACAATGCTGAGCTGCTCCATCCACACTTTGGACAAATTTTTCCCTCAAGAATAATAGGTAATTTGGATTGGGAAGCGTATTTTTTGTGGTTTCACTGTGGTGTTTTTGACTACAAATGTCTTCCTACTTTTTGATTCCTTGGATTTGTCTGCATGTTATAATAAAACACAATAGGTTTATTCACAAAACAAAACAAGTTTTTACATAAACAGAACATGCAATAAAAGCGCAAGAAAAAGAAAAGAAAGAAAGAGAGAGGTATCCAGAGGAGAACTTACCCCGCGCTTTAGGCTCCTGAAGCAGTGGATTTTAGGTTTGGAGGTCATGAACTCGTTGAAGCGATGGGAGAGGGGTTCCTTTTGCTGCTTGGGAGACTGGGGGCCGTTGGGAACAGCAGAGGGTGAGGCAGAGGCAGGGGGAGGAGGAGGGGGCTGATGGGGGGATGTTAAAAGGGACATAAGCTACGTATAAGAGATGGAGAAGTGATAGAATAAAAACCAAAAATAAAAAGATAAAACACAAAACGAAAATAAGCATCAAAACCAATATTTGAAATCCAGAGAAAAACAATTAAATAATTAAATATTAAAGGCCATGGTTCAAAAGAAGGAGAAGAGCAGTATTTAAGAGTTTGTTTAAATTAAAAATGCGATAAATGGAAGATTTTAGTAAATGATGCAACAGAAGAATAACACCAAGTATTCTGACAGGAAGCTCATGCAGACTTCTCCATGCAACACTATCCCCATCAACTGCCCTGTCCTCGCTCTGTGGACGGCTGGAATAATGCTTATGGATAGAGCTTTCAAATACCTGAATTTAAATGGATCAGATAAGGAAGGTACCTTAGTGCCCAGTAGTGTTTCTATTATCTGGAAAACAACAAACCACATTCCTTCCTGCTTCCAAATCACACCTCTAACGTGCATCAAACTTCACTTTAAAAGTTCTGCTGTGAATTTGCTCAGGTGTTAGTCCTGGTTTTCCCTTCTGGCTACACTGATGTAAGCACCAGAGAGAGGAGCTCTCAGATCCGCCCAACACGATGACCCATTTGGATCAGGCAGATTTTTGTCCTCGTTCTGTGATTAGTGCAAGCAGCTTGATGAGGGTCAGAGCAAGAAGGGTGAGATGAAAACAGTGCAGCTACCCTAGGCTTGCATCAGTGTTACTGGGAGCACGTGCAGTCCAGTCATCCTGACACATCCCGTAACCCCAGGTACGCACTGCCATGCATCATGGGGTAAAATGTGACAATGAAATGGCCAAAAAACAGACACAGAAGTTAACATGTTTCTTTTCGAAAAAGTCAACTGCTTCGTTAGTTATGCTCAGTTCTGCTAAACTAAAAAGGAATCACAGTTATTCCTCATTCCCAGCCACCTAAGTGCAGAGCCCACTGCAAAGCCTGTAAGGACAACACAAATGAGAAGCCAAGGAGAGGCTGAGAGTGGCGAGGCAGTAACCCCACGTCAAAGCTGCCCACAAGTAACAGTGTTAGTCAGCACACAAGGCACTACGTGAGTGGTGCACAAATCCTTCTCTGAAGGAGGAACAGAAATGCACCATGGCAAAGACATGACAACTAAAGATAAATAAATATACAAACAGTAACATAATTAAAGAAATTGTACAAAAAATAAAGATATATAAAAAAATTAAGCAACAAAAGACTACAACAAAACACCATATTAAGATATTAGTTATTAACTTTCTGAAACTAAAATTCTCTTAAAAAAATTGCATTTGCCAGGATTACGAAACAAGGCAGAGGTTACAGACTACAAGTACACTAGCACCCAGCTGAAGTTTGCCGGTCAGTACCTTATTTTTCTTGATGAATGGCCATAACTTGCCCTTGGATTTGCTGCCAAACTTCAGTTCAGACTTCCCATCCCCTCTGGAATTGGAAAGGCTGGATTCGGAGATAGTCCTCTTCATCGGTTGGGTGAAGTCCTCAAAGTCAATATCTCCCGGAGGCTCAAACCCTGATTTAAAGGCTTCTATTACCAGCTGGGAATCCTACAAGGGGAGAGAGCCAGTGTAAGTGCAAACATTTCAAATGGGGATTGTCACCAGCCTGGTGGCAGAAGAGAACAGTAAAAGGATGGTAACATTTGCTTGGGCTGAAAACAATCTCCTCAGAGGGGAGAGCTCTTCCAGAGCTCAGAATCAAGACAAAACTCTTCATCTTCAAGGCACTTTTTTTTTTTCTGGACCCATTTTCACCCTGGATATATAGTATATAAACACACTTATTTGCATGTAAACTCAGATTCAGAGCAGCTCAGAAAATGCATTTAAATCTAAAGGCCCCAGGGGAAAACAAACAAACAAACAAAAAAACCCACCACAACAACAACAACAAAAAAACACACTTATGACCTGTTCGACTTTCTGGGAAGGAGCTTTTTATGTTACAATGTTTTAACAGTTTTCACTCGAAAATCATTAGAGAAATTGTGTTAGAACTTGCAGATATCTCAGGAGCCTCCAGAGAAGACGACCACCACCCTGCTCAGGGAAGAAGGGTGAACTTGCTGCTTTAAAAGTCCGAGTCTGTAGGTGAAAGAGCCCTCAGGAAAAGCTGAGTGTGATTTTTAAATATATCCAGAGGCCATGTTCAATTCAGATACAGGAAGAATTTTGTAAAAGCATCCAGGCAATACCAAAGCAAATTAAGACACAATATCCTCAGTCTATCAGATGCACTGCAAAACTCAACACAACCTTTACAG